CATCAGAGGCCCACCCTGAAATCCTCATGTCTCTAGACAAGGCTGGGTCCTCTTGACACACCCCTACACTTTGCATGCAGGCTGCAGGGTGGATACCTCCAGTGAGGGTGCCGTTCTGTTACAGTAACATATCAAGTAGTTTCTCAGAAAAGCTGGCCACTTGGTGTTACAGAAATAAATCGAGGGTGTAAAGCTCACACTCACAATAAGTCACCCACGGTGGCTCAGTGCCTAGGTCACTGCCGGCCGGGCCCTGACTGGCTGCATCTTTGACCTGCACTGCATCGATTCTCACGAGGAGCACGGTGGGTCCTGCCATGCTTATAGATGCTGGTGCTCGGGGGAGTCTGGTTTGCACATCTTGCAGGAGGTACCAGCAGGCTGTGTTCAGTATATAAAACACAGCAAAACACAGAACCCCTTGGTGCAGTCTCACACTATCTCAGCTCTGCAGCCCACGCTCTCTGGCCTTATCTGCACAGCTCAGAGATATTGGAAAGGGCTCTGGTCACCAGTCTATATATAGCTACTGGGTTCACAGTCCTCCTCCTGCTCACCCCATGTACTTTCCTGTTCCTCGGATGAGTTCCTCGCTGCTGGCCTGGCCTCGGGCTCTGGCTGCAGGACCCTTCAAGGGCCTAACCAGTAGACATCAATATGGGATAGGGATAGCACTCTCCCACCAAGAGCCTCCAGGTATATGTGTGTGAGAGCCTGCCTCACAGTGGCTGGACGCTTGACCATTGAACGTAGGTCCATGGTGTGCCTCTTATCAGCAATGGGCATCTCAGAGAAGCTGGCCTCTTGTGTCAGAAAAATAACCCCAAGGATGTGGGACTCATTCCCATGCCAAGTATCACGCAGACGTTCATTATGAAGATAGCTGAGCTCTAGGCTCTCTCTGTCTGGTTGCGTATCTGACCAGGCACCCGCCTCCCATACCTCTCCCGTTAGCTGAACCAGTGGCGTCTTTGAGGGTAGCATCTATTTTCATATTCAGCTACACCTCAGAGTCAGGAAACCTGGCTGCTTAAGGAGCTCCCTGGGGATGGAGGTAGATGCAGCTATATCTTGCAGAGTGCTTTTACCAGAAGCCCTTTGCAGTTCCTGTTTAGAGCCATCACCCTTCGCCTCCACATACTCTCCAAGTGCACAGCGAGACCGGAGATGAACTCATCCCTCACCCTCGCTGCACAGATAAGGAAGCCAAGTTCCTCACACAGCATGCTGCTACACGCTGGTCACCCGCGACACCCACACACGCTGGATCTCCCAGGATCCCAGGGGTCGGCATACGGACAAGGGTACACGGCTCTGCTGAGCCCTGGGGGTCCGCAGCCTAAGCAGCGGCCAAAGCCGTGCAGACCATCAGCCCCAATCCCTTGCTCTTCTTTCCAGGGAGGCTCCGCACTGTCCCCAGCTGCTGTCATCAGCCCAGACAGGGCCCAACGGCAAGCTGTGGCCTTGGCAAAGGACGTTGGATGCCTTGGATCCATCCAAGAAGTGGTTTCCTGCCTCCGCCAGAAGCCTGCCAACATCCTCAACGATGGTCAGACCAAGGTGGGCGCTGGTGTGCGTGCAGGTTGGGAAGGGACCATCTCTTAGGATTCTTCACCAATGGGAGGCCAAGGCCCAACTAACAAGGAGACGTGATGATCCTTGCCGCCCAAGCTACAGATCCAGCCAGTGGCCCACAAAGATGAATTTGTCTCCCAGGTCTAGGAGCTGCGGGCTGTGAAAGCACACACAAGGCTACTGACGGGAGACAGGTTTCTCTGCCATCTGCACGTCTTATGTACAAAGAGGGAACTATGGTGGAGACCTAGAGCTGAGAGATGAAATGAACTAGCATACCCCATGCTAGGACCGCGGAGGCACAATGTCAGGTCACAGCCCCTTAGACAGACGGCTGAGCATCTCCTTTCTATGTGCAAAGACCTTGCTCTCAGCCCGGGTCGCTGGCTGCCCCTGACATCCGTAAGGCGGGCACCGAGAGGCTTTACCCTCATAAGTGGGAGTCAGCACCCTGGGACCTAGACCAAGACTTGTCCTCAGCCTCACCTATGTGGGCTGTGCTGGCTAGTGCCACCCTTTAGAGCCATTGGCGTTTCTTTAAGGCCTTCGTCTTCTCTCTGTTGCTCCTTCTTCCTGTTCCTCCTCTTGTCACTCCAGGTGAAGGGCTCTGTGAGGGGCTCCTGGGGGCCCAGCATTGCTGAGGGGGGATTTGCTGTCCAGCAACTGGCATTGTCACAAGATCCTGCTCGCCTGTTGTCCTCTTCATTTTACCCTTGCTTTCCATTAGAGCTCACTGGATTTGGGGCAGGGGCACTCACAGTTAAGGTCCCACCAATGGTTATATAACAGATGGACACTGAGAGGCAGAATTACGGGGCTCTGGGGGTAGAGGAGGGTGTGGCTCCGTCTTGCAGCATTCCCTTCACAGAGACCTTTGTGGCCCCCGTCCTGTCCCTCTTTGCTACAATCCCTCAGCTCCAATGGCTGCACAGCCAAGACTGGGATTGTCCCTTGTCTAAAGAGGGCGGTAAAATGCATGTGAGTAATGGCCTCCCTCCTCCCTCTGCAGCTCTTGGCTGTCAGTGGCCCGTTCCACTACTGGGGCCCTGTAGTCGATGGCCAGTACCTGCGAGAAGTTCCGGCCAGAGCGTTGAAGAGGCCTCTGCCAGCGAAGGTGGATCTGCTCATAGGGGGTTCCCAGGACGATGGGATCATCAACAGGGCAAAGGCCGTGAAGGTAGGTGAAGGGACACAGCTCTGCTGGCACCCTAGACCAGGAGCTACTGACAGGCTGACTTCCCTGACTGACAGAGGACTGCTAGCCAAGGCTACAGAAGCCTGGAGGTAACCATGGCAGAAGCCGGGTTCAGAACTAAGACATTGACAAGAGGTGACTCACACAGCTATGCTCGCAAATTGCAGCTGTGGATCAATCACTGTGAAGAGCTTAGAGTAGAAGCTGATGGGGTGTTCCCAGCCTCGGGGAGGGGGGGGGGGGGGGGG